CAGTGGGAGCTCTGCCCAGGCTCCAGCGAGTTCCGTAAATTTCCCGAGTCTGTGGTTGACGCTGGTCTCCCCGGACCGGCAGTTGACATTTCCCCCTGTGGTGTTACATTTGTGTTTCCACCTTTAACATGTCGGACTGAATGAGCGTTGCGGTCTGAGGATTTCAGAGATTTATAACGGAGTCTTGAAAATTTACTTAAGGAATATGTACTTCCCCGAGCAATAACAAATATTACTACAAATGACCATATTAAATTAAAGTAACTTAGGCATTTCTGATTCCTAGGAAAGTTCAAATTAATCCTCGGCAGTCTCAGTTTCCAAACGAAAACACGGCTTTGCCCGGCCGCAGGTTCCCGGCGGTTAGTCAGCAGTGAATGAACCCTCAGGTGACGGGGTTTTTCCCTTAAGAATATTCAGTTTCCCCTTTTGTGGAAAAGCAATACTGGAAGGAAGAGACCCTGAAAAATCAGCCATAGTTGTATGTGGGAACCAGGAAACTTCAAAATTCTTTTTTCTATAAACTGAGATGGATTGTTTTTATAATTTTTAAAAAGAAAAGAAGCCTTTCTTATCCATTCTTAATTCCTTCCCTGACTAGTGAGGAGGCAAGGAGCCTGGCTCAAATGCTTTTTTTTTATTATTAAAAAAAAAAGTTAAAGTACTGGTCAGTGTTTGATAACTGACTCTCAGAGAGAGAGAAAGCCCTGATTTGTAATAATTGCCAATTTTCATGGTGCAATACTCCCTCCATGGCCAATGTCAAGCTACCACATGACGTCACAGGCAGAGTAGGGAAGAGAGAGCAGTCACGGTAGCCCACTATTAGGTAGTAATTCTACCAAACAGAAACCATACTAAAGGAAATAACCTCAACCACATAAATAATAGTAAAATGAAGTAAAATAATTAAGAACCAATAAGTTTTGAGTATTACTGCCTTTGTCTTTAATATACTTACTTTAATTACAAGGTCACATAATTTAAATTTTAATAGTTGGTGTTTCATTAAATTAACATAATTTAATTTTAGTGATGGGGGCTCACAAAATGCCTGAAAATGTAAGGTTTCACTCTCACAAGATGGTCTTGACAAAAACCTGTATCGATGGAATATTGCTTTGAAACTTTAGGGTTTAATGTGTCCAAAAGCAGGCAGAGTCCTGGTTGATAAGTGAAGGAGGAAGAGGAGCAGGGCAGCACAGCCAGCTCGGAGCTGGTGAGTTTCAGCCGCGCTCCCACGGCACGCATGTGCCCAGGCCTGTGCGTGCTCCCACCAACAGTAAATCATGCCACCATGGGTCGTGGCAGGGCAAGGTTGCCATGACTCATGGGCTAGCTGCAAGTTCATAGCCACCCATCCAGGACAGAAGGAAGGAGGTGGAGGGAGAGAAAGGCGGGCAGAGTGCTTCAGGGGTTTCATGTTTAGTGCTTTTAACACGGTGCCTCGTTCTCGTGGCTAGAAAGCACTCAGCAGACACATGGCAAAACAGATTGCCGTCCACAGCCAACCTAACGCGCTTGGAGGCTAAGGTGGGGGGTATGAGTGTGTTGTTGTGGTTATTTGTAGCTGTTGTTTTATATCTGTGCTTAGGAGAGCATTTATTTTACAATAAAAAGCATGAGCTGTTGATACTTTTTAACCAGAGTGAGAGAAGACATGGAGGGAACCCCCACCTTTGACGAGAGTTTGTCTGACGCTGCCTGTGACTGTCTGGGCTGGTGCCCAGTCGGTCAGCCATTGCATAGTCCACGCGACACAAGAGCCATGGACATGCAGCATGCCCTCAGGCAACCCGGAGTCGGGTAAGGGGTGGAGATAAAATCTCATTATAAAGCTTTCTGTAATGATAACAGCTCTGGGTGTTGAGCCACTTCCTGTGTGACAGGCAGCGAGGCCTCGCCACAGCCCCATGAGGTCAGCACTCCCACTGCCCTGGTCCCCAGCAGGCGGTCCTCTCACACCATGAACACTGAGACTCACAAGACGACCAGGGCCACAGTGGGCACTGGGTCTGTTCAGAGGGGTGGTGGGCAGAGTCACAGCTGACAGCCAGGCAGTGTCCGCCTCCGCGGAGTCCTGTGCAGGCAGTCTATTCAGATGAGAGTCAGATGGCCCTTGGCCAGGGGTGGGAGCTGCCCCGGTGGAAGAGGGGGTCGGGCTCTGTAACATTCCAGGAGCATGCTCCCGGCTCCCCACCGGGACGTGTCTGGGACAAGATCCCCATGCTCAGGAAGCCCAGGGTTCTGTCTTCCTATCAGTTCGCGTGGACTTCTCCTTCCTCCCGGTCTAGGTGTGATGGACCAGTCTTGGGTCAGTCTTATCCTGAGGAGCACAGTTGACGTATCTTAGCAGGGTACCCAAATTAACCAAAGATCAAATTCTCCTGCAGAAAGGGAACAGATGTATGTCAACCCTTCACCTATAATTGTTAGTCCCATTTCACAGGAAATAACGCTGAGGTTTAGAGAGGTTTCTCAGCTTGCCTCAATCACGTAGTCAGTAACCCAGCCGGGACTTGAACCCTGGCCCACTCCAAGTCCCATACTTTTCACCAAAATGTGAGATGTAGGTTTCTCATTCTCTCCCATAGCATATCTGTGTTTATCTGACTATTTGAAACAGGAACTTGAACTCCGACACAGAACTACTGGTCGTCCTGGAAGAAGCATAGGCCTGGCCTGTGGTTTTGCCCACACTGCTAACCCCATGTTGAGAAGCTCAGCACCAGCCGCTAGTAGGATAATAAAGACAGCACTAGCTCCTTGCTTTTCTCTGAGAGCCCACATTTTGAGTAGAAGTTTATGGAGAGGGGATAAAAAGGCAGGTTTAAGAGCAGCAGAGCCATCTGAAAAGAAACGAGTACCTGCTACCGGGTGCAAACAATTCTGCTTTGCGTTGTGCCTTTCTTTTTAAATCACCGCCATCCTGTAGCACCAATCCTAAGCGCTCAAGGCGAAGCATGTAGCTTTTACTGCAGTTCAGTTCTGCATATAAAATGCGGTTTATATATCTAGATTGTATTGCAGAAGCCATTCAAGAAATGTGCCATTCATGCTCCAAGTAGAAAAGTAAGCGCTTTAAGACACTGTAACGATACTGTAATATTGTTTCATTGGGTGTTTGATCAACTCTCAGCTTTTACCAGGCATCGGAACTATCTGTTGACGTCCCAAAGTTCAGAACGTGAGGAAGACAAATGTTAGGGAGTTTGGTAGGCAGGATGTGAAATGGGTTGAGTGAAACAGCATGTTTAAGTGCAGTGGAATTTATGATGAATTGTATTGAAATAGTCAAAACACAATTGATGGAGGGGGACAGGGTACGTAGAGGACTTGAGGGGGTTGGTTATGTTCTGTTTTTAGCCTGGGCAGTGGGCACAGGTGCCAGTTTTATTACCCAGATGCTTTCAAACACTCAGTTCACTAGGCTTGCCATTGCAATTTTCAAAAACGCAGTTGATAAAGTCTGCCTGCCAATAATACAGCCCAACTGGCATGGCTCAGTGGTTGAGCATCAACCTATGAACCAGGAAGTCACAGTTTGATTCCCAGTGAGGACACATGCCCGGGTTGTGGCCTCAATCACCAATGTGGGGCATGTAAGAGGCAGCCAATCAATGATTCTCTCCCATCATTGATGTTTCTAGCTCTCTCTTTCCTTTCCCTCTGAATTAAAAATATATTTTAAAAAATAACAATACAAAAAAGATATTTGCTCTTTAGGTAAGAGATATTTCATAGATTGTTTTGAATCTTATATTACACTAGAGGCTCAGTGCATGAAATTCATGCAAGGGGAGGGGGGTGACCCTCAGCCCGGCCTGCACCCTCTCCAATCCAGGACCCCTTGGGGGATGTCCGACTGCCAGTTTAGGAGACTGGCAGTCGGACATCCCTCTCACAATCTGGGACTGCTGGCTCCTAACCACTCGCCTGCCTGCCTGATTGCCCCTAATCGCTTCTGCCTACCAGCCTGTTCACACCCCAACTGCCCTCCTCTACCGGCCTGGTTGCTCCTAACTGCTCTCCCCTGCTGGCCTGGTCGCACCCAACTGCTCTCTCCTGCCAGCCATCCTGTGATGATGTGAGGATGGCCATCTTATGGCGGCTATCTGTGGCAGCCATCTTGTGATAACATCGCACGTGACGCCAGCTAGGCTTTTATTATATAGGATGAATTTATGAAATGTTAAGTTATACAATGAGGAAAGAACAGTTTGAATACCACTAACCTAAGAGGAGTGTTGAAAGAATAATTTTGAAGTTCCCAAGATGAAATTGTCAGGAAAGCCCACCTTTGCCTTTATGGGCAATAAAATCACAGCAGGAACAGATCCTCAGCAGTGCTCTTCCTCCTTGCACTGAGCTCATCCCTTCCTCTTGAATGTGCCTGGGCTGGCTGACTCGGTCATCCCGTAAACCCTCGCTGAATGGGCCTGCAGTGTGCTAGCAACCGCTGTGGGACTAGGCTCCTTCCTTTCAGCTAATGGCTGCGGAGACAAGGCCTTCCGTCAGTGAAAAACATTAAAAAGCCCGAAGGACAATATGAGAACCCAGAGTCAGACACAAGAATCAGTTTTCATGTGACCATGATGCTAACCTATCTACAAAGAGAGCCCTCTCTCCCTGGGCGTGGCTGGGAGCTTGAGAATGGGTGGGCTTTCCGCAGGTTGGAAGAGAGAGAGGACCTCCCAAGAGAGGACAGGGCTTGTCACTGACGCACTGCTGCGGGTGCAGGTGGAATCTGTATGTGAGTTTCCCACAAGGAGGGTTTGCCTAGGGAAGAAATGGGCCTGGCTTTGAGGGACCTTAAACCAACCAGCTAGCAGATGCTTTCATCGTGCAGGAAAACGGGTTCTGTTGTGAGCTTTGAGAGTGGGACAGACCTGTGAACAAGCCCCTATCCCAGGAGGGGGCATCTGTCAGACTCAGGGTAATTGTCACAGTCCTCCTGCTCTGTAAATGGCCCAGTCACTCACCTGCCGTTGTCCCTTCAGATTCATGACTGACGCTGCCCGGCGGGAGCAGGAGTCCCTCAAAAAGAAGATCCAGCCGAAGCTCTCACTGACCTTGTCCAGCTCCGTGTCTCGGGGGAATGTGTCCACGCCACCGCGCCACAGCAGTGGAAGCCTTACTCCCCCCGTGACCCCGCCCATCACGCCCTCCTCTTCATTCCGCAGCAGCACCCCGACAGGTGAGTGGCTTGGCTCTACCCATGGTGAAGAGTGAGTGTGAGTGTGTGTGTGTGTGATGTGTGCTGGGGGCCAGGGATAGGTGGTGATTCAGACCCACCTGTTTGACCCTTTACTAGTCTGGGTAGAGTTTGTTGGTTCATTCATCTACTTATGATTGAAGAAAAATTTGTGAATTACTGTTCATCATGTGTATGCAATAATGGATTTATACTTTTCATGCCCTTACCATGTCTTATGTGCAAAGGGATAGGATGGCTTGGGTTTGCACAGGTGGAGGAGTAGACAAAAAAGATGGCCACGTGTTGATTATTGTTGGAGCTGGGTGATGAGTGCATAGTGGTTCAGGACACCAGTCTCCCAATCTTTGCTTCTGGAAAATAGTTCCCATAATAAAATGATTATTATACGAATATTTAGAGTGCCTCCCCCGCCAGGCAAAGGAGACCCGTTCCTGTCCCAAAGAGCTTGGGCCTCGTGGAAGATGTTGGCCTTCTAGGGGGCCCACAAGCACACTCTTGTTTTCCCCTCCCCAAAGTGCAAGTCACTGAAAAATAAAACAGCAATCAGAGGTGAAGTTCAAAATCAACTTTATTAGTGCAGAAAGCTAACCTGCTGGAGGGAGCATGGATTCGTAGCTATTGGGCTTCGTAGTAGGTCTTCCAGGGGGTTAACTTATTTCCTAAATCACCCTTCTAGCTTACCTCGCAGTGCACGCAGATCTGTGTGCACCCGGCCCTCTACTGAGCATGCGCCGTACCTCTCCCAATTCAGAGATCCATTGAGTCACTGCTCCCCGGGGGCAGGAGTGAGGAAAGATGGTAGAAAGAAGCTGGGAAGGTCCCTCCTTTTCTTTTTCCCATCTGAGAAGCAGGGAATATATTTTCCTTCTCCCCAGTTGGAGTATAGGCGCAGGTATTAACCAGATAAATGCACCAATAACTATGACACTGTGACCATGACAAGTGCTCTATGGAGGAACTCAGTGATGTGAAAGCATCCAGAGAGAAGTCTGGCGGATCAGGGAAGGCTCCCCTTGAATGATGAGTGGGAGGCAAGGCGGTGACCAAAGAGAGGAGGAGCAGCTGGGAAAGGACTCCCTAATGCGTGTGGGGAGATGCTGGGTTGAATGAAGGAAAACTGGTTTCTCTAAGGCAAGGCCTTCGTATACATTGTTATTCTCCAGGGGGAGAATTTAGTAAAATCTCCCAAACTTAGTTGACTCCGATTCTGGGACTTCTTTTCCTGGGAGCATCTCGGGGGCTCATGGTGGACAGACACCCTGTGTTCTGTCAGGGTTGGGCGTTGTGGAAACAGGATCGGTGTCGGAGGCAGATGGACCGGGGTTCCTACCTGAACAGCTCCCTTCACCAGTTACTAAGTACACCTGTTCCATAGATTTCTGTGTCCCAGTCTAACGTGATAGCCCATGTATGCACCCGGCGTCCAATAAATGTTTGTGCCGTCCGGAGTCTTCATCTGGTGGCTTCAGGAACAGATCAGGGTCATTCTTCCATAGAAGATGAGTCGGTTCCTTTGTGCTGGGCATTTGTCCATCTCCTTACATCGGCCCCCATGCTTCCCTTGTACTTTATTCTGCGAAGATTTACTTTCCAGCATGTTGTGAAACATTTATCGTGTGAATCTAAGGCATGCTGTGAGAATGTAATTCTGTGATCGTCTTTTCTGAGTATTTCTATGAAGACTTATTCATACAGAATATGAATTAAGGGGCAGTTATGCACCTGGGTGTGCTTTATACATGACTCAATACTGACTGACTCGTGGTCCACATCAGATAACCATGGCTGCCTCGTCAGTAAGTTTCCTTAGAACCCCAGGAAAATCAAGACAGTTTAAAAGTGAGAGTTTATTATTTTTCATGTAAGAATGTTCAGGAGAAATGGAATCATTCATTTCCTTTCCCTCAGACCTAAAGAAATCTTTCTGACACCTTGCCTATTTTAGCAATTTCCCACCGCGAGGATTAATTTATGTTGTGGTAAAGATGTATCACTTTCAATCTGTCAAGATCATTGGTAAGTTATTTGCTGCTTGAAGAATGTTCCATGTAAACATCAAAAATTAGCAGGGGAAATGGTTTCTTAAACCCCTACCCTGTACAATTTTGATTGTGTACATTTTTCAATGTTTGAAATGTTATTTTACCTGTAGTTAGAGAGATCAGCTTATTTTTCCTGACTAATGTGGTTTCAGTCACTTTCGCTGCCAGGTTATAAATAATATCCCATGTTTCTGCCTTCTGAATTCACTCTCCCAAGTTTCATATTCAAGGCACATTCCTGGTCCAGAAGTAAGTCATCTTTGGAACATTTCATTTATAAAACATTCTTTTTTTAAAAAAATATATTTTATTGATTTTTTACAGAGAGGAAGGGAGAGGCATAGAGAGTTAGAAACATCGATGAGAGAGAAACATCGATCAGCTGCCTCCTGCACACCTCCCACTGGGGATGTGCCCGCAACCAAGGCACATGCCCCTGACCAGAATCAAACCCGGGACCCTTCAGTCCGCAGGCCGACACTCTATCCACTGAGCCAAACCGGTCAGGGTTATAAAACATTCTTTACAGTTCACTGTCGTGACAAGACTGGGTCTGAGCTCAGCTTCATCTGGAGTCTTGGATATTGCTTAGGTATTCTTGGAACCAAGATGTAGTTTGGAATTTCTAAATCCTAGGAGGTTCTTGTCATCTCTTCCTTTTCATTTCCTCTCCTTATTTGCTTGATTATATATATATATATTTGTATTTTAAAAGTATTCACTTAAGCAAAGGTTAGAATGGTTAAAATTATGGATCAGCGCACTTTCTATAAAGGACCAGATGGTAAATGTCTCATGCTCTGCAGGCCATAGGGTCTCTGTTTCAGCTATTCAGCTATAGAATTACACACACAAATGGGCATGGTGTGTTCCATTAAAAGTTTTTGTACAACTTTATTTACAAACACAGGCCTGATTGGGCCCACAGGCCATGGTTTGCAGATCCCTGATTTAAATCATAAAGATACAGAATTGAAAGATAAACATAATTGAATTCCCTGAAAATAAAATGTTAAAACAATTCATACCTTTCTCCTGGTAATATCTGGAGTATAATTACTAAGGAGGAGTGGCAGCTGGCATGTGTAGTGTTTCCTGGCTGTGCTTACTGTATACTTTGTGTATGGTGCTGTTTTTAATCCTCACACCAGCCCCAATGAGACACCACTATTATTTCCATGTTCAGATCAAAGAAATAGAGGCTTAGGAAGGTCAACTTGCCCTAAGCCCCATGTTTACCTGTTCAAAAAGGTGGTCTTTCTAGTGGACTCACACTTGCTCTCCACATTCAGACCTTTTTAAAAACTATTGGACCTTCAGTCCTCTAGCTGCCCCAATTACTGCTTGTCAGCTCCAAACCCGAAATACAGCACCTGCTAGGACACGGACTGTGGCTCACCCTCACTCACAGGAACTATGCTGCCATCAGCTTGTCAGAACTGGAGAATTTGCTGGTTTCATTGAGTCAGAGTCTTCCTTAAGGGTGAGCTGGAGCTGACTCCAGAGAGCCAATCTATAATAATAAAAGAGTAATATGCAAATCAATCGAACGGCCTAACACAGAAGACCACCCAGATGAGCTTCTGAACGAAGCCAGGGCTGCAAGGGCTGAGCTCTTGCACATATTTCGTGCATTGGACCTCTAGTTGTTAAATATTCCGGTTTTCAAACCAGTTAAAGGATTAGCTTGAAATTGGCCATGGGGAGAGTATTTATACCAGTGAAATTAGGACATGCTACCTGTCCAGACTTCCGCACGCCCCACTTTACCTTTATACCACTCTCTTTTCCTTTTAATACTTACCAGATTAATCTTACTTAGTTTGTAATTCAAGGGATCAGGGGCATAACTATGTCTGTGAATGAGCCTAAAGCAAAAATCAATCACTAATAAATAAATATTGGCCACTGCAAACAATGGATTGCTCCACAGCCATTCACAACAAAGGTATGGGTCACTGTGTAGTGACATTATCCAGTTATAAAACTACATATGAAGTATGATCCCAATCTTATTTTTTTTTTACTTCAAAAAAGTTAACGGTGGTTACTTTAATGTAATGGGGAAATAGGTACTCTTTTCTCTTTCCTATTTTCTAAAATGAGCTTGTATTACTTTTGCAACTCCAACAACTATTCAGTACATATAACCAGAAGATCCAGACAAGATGGCTCTGACCCTGCTTCCCCCTCCCCTCAAAAAGAGAAATTAATCAATTTATTTCCTTCAGATTAATTTCATGGCCTTTCAGGGTTAGGAGGAAGGAGGTCATTCTCTAGGAAGGGCCTTTAGCCAGCAGATTGTTTTGGCTATTAGAGTCTGTAGTTTAGTTGAGAAAGTACTTTCTTTTTTTCCTGTTCCCATATTTGCCCACTGGACCTCTTCGAAGAGTGACTCTCAGATGGAAATCACCTGGAGAATTTTTCAACCCTTTGCTTGGGCTCCACCCCGAGACTCTGACTTGGTTGGTGGGCGGGACTTGGCACTGGTGGTTTTAAAAAGTTCTCAGGGTTAACTCTCACCTGTAGCTAGAGTTGGGAAACCACTGCTTTGCAATGTGACCGTCCAGTTGTCCTAGCTGTATTTTCTTGCTTGGGTTAACATATCCCCACCTTGTCTGGAGAAAGGTGACTGCAGCCACTCGCTTAGCCTCGGAAATGAGTCCAAGGGGACTGAACAGATGCGCGCTTGTGTCTTAATGGAGAAGCCATGGAAAGAGTTGGCCGGGTTTTGGGTTATAATAGCGTTGCATAGTCTCTCCTGGAAAATATTTGTATATATATTTTGGCTGACTCGGGGGGAAAAATTCAAGTACTAAACCAGAGAAAGGCACCCAAGGAAATGAAACCTGTGTGTGTGTGTGTGTGTGTGTGTGCGTGTGTGTGTGTGCGCGCGCGCGCGTGCGCGCGCGCGCTTTCTAGTCCAAGCTACCTATA